TGGGGAGGACCTTAACAAAGAGTTCCAGGCTTTTGGCTCTGGGAGCCTCAAATACATTGACAAGTAGTTCTACAAAATATTACTGAAAAGGTAAAATGCCTAATGTTTTCAAGAGTTCCCCTGGACTTCTTCCCACATGCCATATCACACTGCCAGATGAACATGGCAAAGCCCAAAGGCCACATTTTTGAAGAAAGGAAAACAAGAATAAGCCCTGTTGCTCTTTAAGGAGAGATGAAGGAGTCGAAGGCTGCTGGGTCCTTTCCCACGTAGGCCTGTGTTCTGTAAAGCAACTTCCCAGCAGCAGCCTGGTACAGTTCTAGGTGAGGGTCTCACCTTTTGTCACCTGTAGAAGGAAAACAGACAATTAGATAAATTCAGAAGGATTAGAAGGTCTAAAAAAATCTTATTTTAGATCTTATATAGTAGAGAGTGGTAGAAAAGAAGACAGCTTTGGAGTCTCAGAAACCTGGTTTAAATCTAGGCAAGGTACTTAACTTCTCTAAGCTTATTTCTGCTTCCAGGTTTGTTTTAGCAAGAAGTAGAAATGTGCATTCTCCCTTGCACAGCACTGCCTAGCCTCATGAGGAAGCATCTGAGCCATCATACTCACCCGTGCTTCAATGTACTCTATTCTCCGTTCAAGGGCTGTCAATTTCTCATTTAGTGTTGCGAGTCTTGAACGACAAGACATATCTGGGAAAAGGAGACTGATGTTCAGGATTAATGTCATTCCAGACATAAACACACACACACACACCATTTAAGCTGAAGAAGAGGAGTGATATATCATATCATGTAGAGTATAAATGGGAGAGGGTGGGCAAAGCAGGGGAGTGGAGAAGACAAGGTGAGAAGTATTTAGGATCACAACTGCTTAGAGTGGATCTGTTTAACTTTCTACTAAATGTGGTAGGCAGAGAATATGGCCCCCAAAGATGTCCACATCCTAATCCCTGGAACCTGTGAATATGTATCCTGTATGACACAGGAGAATTTGTAGGTATGATTAAGGTTAAGAACCTTGAGATCCTGGATTGTCTAGATAAGCTCAATCTAATCACAAGCCTATAAATGTAGATGAGAGAGGTAGAGGAAAGACAGAAGATATTTGAAGTGGGAGAGGGACTCAACTTGCCATTCATTCATTGCTGGTTTGAAGATGGAGGAAGGGGCCATGAGCCAAGGGATGCAAGTGATCTTTAGAAGCTGGGAATGGCTCTCGGCTGGCAGCCAGTCTGCCAACAACCCAATAAGCAAGAAATCAAATCCTCTCCTAGAGCCTCCAGAAAGGAAGGCACCCTACCAACATCATGATTTCAGCCCAGTGAGCCAGTATTAGACTTTTGATCTACACAGCTGTAAAATAATAAATTTATGTGGTTTAAGCCGATACATTTGTGGTAATTTGTTATGGGAGCAATAGGAAACCAAGGCTGTACAGATGACCATTTGCTATTAGGCAAACTAAGAGTTTCAAGAAAGGAAAAAGGACAAGAGGGAAAAAATAATCTCAATAAAGAGAAAAAGCAGAAGCCAAGAAAGCAGCAGAGACTATGAGGAAACAGGAAGGTGTCAGTGTCTCTAAGCTAATGGAAGCCACATCACTTGTTGCTCTAGGAGGGTTCTTAATGTTTCAATATCTGTGCTTTTCACAATCAGAGAAAACATGAACATCAAATATCTTGAGAAGCCCACATTCCATCTACAACATTCCTATTCTACCTTTTCCAATCTTCTTTCACCACCTCACCCAAAACGAAACTTAGATTTTCCCTAAAATACCGTTTCTTCTGCAAACTTCTCTAACAGAAACTACTTGACTACTCTTTCCACAACTATTCTCAACACACAGGAGAAAAAGGTTTCTAGACGTGCTAATCATTTCCTACTACTTCCTCCAACACTGTTGTTCAGTCATCTCTCAATAATCTTCACTGTTTAAGTCTAAAATATCCACTCTCTGAGATGTACTCCCACTCAATGATTTAACACTTAACTCACGACATTCCTTTTCATCTCTTCCCTTTCTTGCTGTTATGCAAAAGGACTTCAGCCCCCATTTTGAGACAAATCTTCCTATACCCTGATCTTGCCTCAATTTTCATTTCATCATATCCAAATCTTACTCATTTAAACATTCTCCTTCAAGGTTCAGTTCAAATTGAACTCTGAGAGGTCTTTGCCAGATGGATATAATTCTCCCTCTTCTGTTATTTACCTAAACATTTATGGCTGAATTTCTAATTTGTAAGTTACTTATGTAGTTGGTCTTCGGTTATCATTTCTAGCTTTATATAAAGATTTAACAAACAAGAATGTTCATCACTATTACTTAGGAATGCTTTGGTAAAGTATGACATATCTATGAGAGACTATTAAAACGCCATTAAAAATTACCAGTTGGAAGAATATTTAATGACGAGTATATATTCATGCAAAAAACACAAGTGATATTTAACTTCTTGTAATTTATTATTTATTTACATGTCTGTTTCCCTGGTAGAATGAATTAATCAAAAGCAGATATTTCCTCTTTTTTTTTAAAATTCTCACCTGAGGATATTTTTTTCCATTGATTTTTTAGAGAGAGAGGGGAAGGGAGGGAGGAGGGGGAGAGGAGGCAAGAGAAAGAGAGAGAGAGAAACATTGATGAGAAAGGCACATTGATTGGTTGCCTCCTGCACGCGCCCAGACCAGAGCCAGGGATCGAACCTGCAACCCAGGTATGTGCCCTTGACCGGGAATCAAACCCTCAGCCCTTTGGTCTGTGGGCCAATGCTCTAACCACTGAGCCAAACAAGCCAGAGCAGATATTGCCTTACTAATCTTTGTAACTTTAGGGTCTTGCCTGGAACATAGATACTTATTGAAGGAAAAAAAAGACAGATTCTGGTATACTAGTGGAACAAAAGATTGACTCTAGTATGAGTCACTAACTTTTTTTAAATGTAATGAATAATTTTTTAAAAAATTTTATTTATTTATTGAATTTAGAGGGAGAGGAGGGGAAAGAGAAACACTGACTTGTTTCATTTATTTACGCATTCACTGGTCGATTATTGTATGTGCCCTGATGGGGGATCAAACCAGCAACTTTGGCATATTGGGACAACACTCTAACCAACTGAGCTATCAGGTCAGGGCTCCACTATTTCTACAAGTGGGGAAACCAAGGCCTAGATAAGTGGAGTATCCATCATGAGTCACTGACAGGACAGTGACTGAGTTCAAAACCCAGTTCCCCCACTGCCCAACATGGAACTCTCCCCCATCACACTGTCCCGGCGCACACTGCTACCATCCCTCTGAACCTCTGAGGCCATAATTCACTCCCCACATTCCTTAAAATTTGCTTACAGCCCAACCATTACACTTTCTAGTTCATTTTTTTTCTTTTTGTTTCATATTAGATCCTTTCCCACTCATCCATCTTCACTGCTACTCTTTATTATTCTTTTTTAAATACAGCTTTATTCACCCTGGCTGGTTTTGCTCAGTGGTTAGAGCGTCGGCCCATGGACTGAAGGGTCCCAGGTTCAATTCTGGCCAAGGGCACATACCTCGGTTGCAGGCTCAATCCCCAGCCCTGGTAGGGGTGCATGTGGGAAGCAGTCAATCAATGTGTCTCTCTCACATCAATGTTTCTCTTCTCTCTCTCTCTCCCTTCAACTCTCTCTGAAAAAGCAATGGGAAAAATATCCTCTGGTGAGGATTAAAAAAAAAAAAAAGGTTTATTGATATATAATTTATATACCTTAAGTCTCACTGCCTTAAAATGCAAAATTCAATGGTTTTTAGAATATTTACAGAATTGTGCAGTCATCACCATAATCTAATTTTAGAACACTTTCGTAATCTCTAAAAGAAACCTCTATTAGTGCCCTGGCCAGGTGGCTCAGTTGGCTGGGTTTGATTCCTGATTAGGGCACATACCTAGGTTGTGGGTTTAATCCCCGGTCGGGATGCATTCTAGAGTATGGATTTACCTATTCTGGACATTCTTCATTCTTCTTTTTTTAATTTTTAAAATAATTTTTAAAAATTCATTTTATACAGAGGGAGAAAGAGAGAAACATCAATATGCGCCCCGACAGGGGATCGAACCCTCCACCTTTTGGTGTACGGGATGACACTCCAACTGAGCCACACTGGCCAGGGCTCTTCATTCTTTTCAATCTTGTCCTTTTATCTGCTAATGCTGCTTCTTCCAATTACCAGGTCTAGCTTGAGCAGAAGCACCTCAGTGCCCTCCTTTTACTGGATACGCTGCCACAACTGCCCAATAGAACCAATGTCTTTCAGTGTGGTTTTCTGAAGAGCAAAGGCACGTCATGTATGCTATTCAGTAACAGCATGAATGTTATCACTGGCAACCTGTCATTTCCCACAAAAAAGAGCCAAAAATATCCGAAGAAGTGGGGTAGTAAGAGGGAGGGGTTCCTTCCTGGATGGCTGTTCTGTTCTAGCTCTGTCAATCTGGTAATGAATCAGAATCTAAGAGCAACATGATGCTATTGGCCTACATGAATAAGCACTGTTGAAAAATATAAAACGTTGAACTCCAGAAACTTCAGTTATATTTCAGATCCCATTAAATACATACTGGTTCAAACAAAACATAGGGAAAGCATTCAGCAGCTGAACAAATCTGAAACCAGAGTGCATTTATTTATGTGTACATTATCACCAGACTTTAAATGAATGCCAGCTGTCCTCATCAGGGTGCCCGATGGTGCATACAGTAGTCTCCCCTTAACCATGGGGAGTGCATCCCAAGTTTAATTTAGAAATTAGGCATGCAAGAGATTAACAGGAACTAATAATATAATAGAACAATTATAACAATAAGTTATGTGAATATAGTATCTCTCTCTCAAAATATCTTATTGTACTCATCCTTCTTGTGATGCTGTGAGAAGATACAATGCCTATGGGATGAGATGAATGAGGTGAATAACGTAGGCACTGTGATGTAGGGGTAGGCAACTGACCATATGTAACGAGCACTTTTATGGCTTCTCTTTGGCATACTACTACTACTAGTGCTTGACCAGCATCACTACTCTAGTGCTTTGGGGCCATTATTAAGTAAAATAAGGGTTACTTGAATACAAGGACTGTGACACTAGGGCAGGATCTGGTAACCCAGCTCGCTACTAAGTGACTAACAGGTGGTTAGTATATAGAACACATAGACAGGCTGGACAAAAGGAGATGATTCATGTCCTGGGCAGAATAGAATGGAACAGCAAGAGATTTCATCACACTGCTCAGAACAGCACACAATTTAAAACTTATAAATTGACCGTTGATCGAACCCACATCCCTGGCATTTGGGGACAATGCACTAACCAACTGAGCTACTTGGCCAGGGCTGTTTTTGCAGGTAAGTCTTATTTCTCCAACAAAATTCTAAATTTCTTAGGAGTGGCTACCATGTCCATTTATTCTTAATTTTTCCTTTCCATAGCATCTGACACATAGCTGGGTCACAACAGGCATGATATATCTGTTGGCAAAGTATAAAAACTGAGATTTTAAAAGTCACATTCTCTATTTTTTGTTACACTTCTCTGCACATATTAGCTCGAGAAACAAAAAATAAAAAACTATCATCTTCCCGGCTGGTGTGGCTCCATGGTTGAGCATGGACCCATGCACCAAGGGGTCATTGGTTTGATTCCCGGTCAGGGCACATGCCCAGGTTGTGGGCTTGATCCCCAGTAGCGGGGCGTGCAGGAGGCAGCCAAACGATGTTTCTCTCTCTCCCTCTCCCTTCCTCTCTCTAAAAGAAAAAAATATCAATAAAAACATATTTTTATCATCTATGACAATCTATTTTTAGAAAATTCAATTCCAAGTACAAAATAGGCCTAGCATTAGGATATTACCACTGCTTTATGATGTGTGTGTTCTCAGGTTCAGGTGATCCTCCAATGCTGAGAGAGAAAACTATAAAGCAACTGTAACTCTGCTCTCACCAGCTGGAATCACAGAGTAAAATCTGTTCAGAAAGTCATTGCCTATCTTGGAAAAACAGTTCCCTTTCCAAAGCACATGGCCAACACAGACTCTCTGTGGACAGGGTGAGGATTGTAGGACTGCTGCCATTTTCAAAGAGCTCCAGATGCCTCCTCAAAGTAAACACCTATTAAATCTCCGCACCACCAAATCATATTATCATAAACTCAATACAAGCCCCACAGGTATACATCAGAACTAAGAAGTTATGCTAAGGGCTTAGAATGGAAAAATACATCCCACACACACTCATCCAGAGTCATCCAATGCCAAGACAATATACTCAAACATATTCTTATGATTTATCCAGTTTCTCAGCCTGTTGGTCTTTGTCTAAAGTCTTGTATCATGATACTGCCAGTCTTTACCAGCTTTATACCTGATAAGTCAGACTGCTTTAACTTTTAATCTTGCTTCATGATTCTGTTCTTACTTGTAATTAACATTCTTTTCTTCAAAGGACTAAATTCACTTTCTAAAATTTTCAAAAAACACCTAGTAATTACTCCAAACATCAGGCCACTGTCATTATTTATGGGAGAATAACAGCCTAAGCTAAGGGAAGCCGTTTCTTCTGGCACTTAAGAGATTGGAATCCTGTGTGTGTATTTCCTCAGCCTAAGACTTGTTGGAAATCTTGAATAAAAAGAAAAGTCTTTATTCTCTATCTAATCACAAAATGACTAAATATTTTTAAAAATCTCAGAGCAGGTATTTCTTTGCTAATAAAACAAGAAAAAACACATTTCTCCTCTGCAAATACTAAGCTCAAACTCTTCAATTTTCAGTCAGTTGCAAGACTCACCCTCTATATATAAATTTAGTGGCTATGATGTCAAGAAGACTTATGTCAAAGATAAATGTGAATTAAAGTTTATTAATATAGTCCTGGACTGTGTGGCTCTATGGTTAGAGCTTCCGCGCGCGCGCGCGCACACACTGAAAGGTTGTGGGCTTGTCCCCCGCCCCCTCTGGGGGAGTGTGGGAGGCAACCAGTAGATGTGTCTCTCTCCCATGGATGTTTCACTCTTTCTCTCTCCTCCTGTTTCCCTCCCTTACACACTCTCTGAAAAAGCATCCTGAGGAAAAAATATCCTCAAGTGAGGATAACAACAACAAAAAGTTTATTAACATAATTCAGTGCTCAAAAATGAAGATAATGCATTACCAAATCCCAATTTGGGGGACTGAGATGCTAGATTACTTTTACATTTTGAAAAATAGTCCTGGTTTGACTAATTTCAGATGACTGATTGAACTGACATTCTTAATACTTTGCTTGGATATTATGTGTGTACATATGAGATATTAACACCTAGTGGATGAATGAAGTTTTTTAATTCTTTTTTTTTTTAAATCCTCACCTAAGGATATTTTTTTCTATTTCTTTTTCAGAGATAGTGGAAGGGAGAGAGAGAAGGAGCAACATCGATGTAAGAGAGACACATCAATTGGTTGCCTCCATGAGCCTGGACTGGGGCCAGGATAAAGACTGCAACCGAGGTACATGCCCTTGGCCAGAATCGAACCTGAGACCCTTCAGTCCTCAGGCTGACGCTCTAACCACTGAGCCAAACCGGCTAGGGTTTAATTCTACTTTTTAAAGTCAAAACTCTCCAATGTCAGTGGCTTTTCCAACTATTTTCCACTGCCTTTCCAGACTAAGTCAAAGCTATGATCTTGTCATCATTCCATCTTTACCCTAGCATGCAATATTTTGGTTTCTCTTATTTGGTCCTTCTTTTGAGGAAATATTATGAGTAAAGAATGCTGGGAAGAACCCCATAATCATTAGGAAAGCAGAAGAACCCAGTTATAAGAACTAACATTGAAAGACTTTGCACGTTTTTAAAAAAATGTCCCTGAGAAAACTCAGACTAGCTATGTATTTCTCAAATATTTTCAGTTTGTTAAAATCAATTAGTCTAGCCTCTCTGAACTTCTGTGTCCTGTCTCCAAACCCACTTATCTTTCACTAAACCATGTTCCTTCATTTAGTCTTCAAGAAATTTCAGGATACTTGAGATCTAGGATTTGATACCATTTTCTACTGCAACCTCTAATAGCAAGTTATGTGTGTGAATATGCACTTATTGACATATATAGTTATACTATTCTCTCAATAATATTACCTTCACCCCCAGTCCCTGGTAAGTGAGGAAATCTACTATATCAAGACACATCCATCAAGCTTATAGTCCTATACACCTTGTATGTAAATATATTAATACAAAACAATGTTCTGCTTTGTTCTTAGGTTATTGTTTCATCTTCAATATAAAAATTCTTTTGACTCAGGAAATGGTTCTTATTCTGTGTCCTTCACAGTGCCTGAGAGAGTCCTGCACTGAGAACTAATTTCTTTTGCTGATGCTTTCTGACAAAATTCATGTTCTGTGCTTAGAACTCATCAGTCCTCTCGCTAGAAAATAATACATTTTAAAGTCTTTTTTTATAGATCGTTTCCCCTACTTAATCTTAATTGTTTAATGTTGCTGAGTTAGTGAAACAGAAGCACACGAGTTTGAAAAGATCACTAGATGTCATCCCTACACCTTGTGATTACTAAGTCTACCCAGGGCTCGGTTCTCTTAAACACTTTAAGAACAAGGGATGGGAGTCTCTGTTACGGGTTTGCTGTCCAGAAGGATGCAGGACAAACATTGTCATGTGCAGGCCATGCCTAGGAAAGACTTTGCTAGAAGGAGACAGAATACCTACTGCCAGCTAGATAGTAACAATACAGAGAAGACTGCCATGGCTTTACGCGATCTGAACCTTACCTCTGACCTCATCTCCTACTACTCTCAGCACAGCAAACACGGAAGACAGGAAGGGATGGGAAAGAGAAGGCTGACGGGGCGAGTAAAAGGCATGGCGCTGAAGGGTTTCAACTCGATCCTGAAGGAGATGGGGAACCGTCAGGGGTCTTTACACAGGGCAGCGACACGGCCACGGCTACATTCTGGAAGGTGCCCTAAGTGTTATGTGGGAACTGGAAGGGAAGCGGAGCGCAAAGGAAGCAGGGAGACTACTGAAGAGAAGACGCAGAGAGTGGATGGGGTGCCTGACGTGTCTGAAGAAGGACTTGTTAATGGGTCCGGAGTGAAGGCAATAAGGCCGATGAGCTCAGCGTGGAGCAGGATAACCCTACAGGGACTGCCCAGTGGAGCCCGAGAGTCAGGGAGCAAGGAGGAAGGTGGGGCCTGAAGGAGGAAGAGAAAAGCAGCAAGAGTCGAGGTCTCCCGGAGAGAGCAAATTCGAAGCTCATCAGCGCCCCGGCTAAACTGCCTCCGAGGCCTCCTCCCTCCACCCCGCCTCCCGCTGCTCGCCCGCTGACCGAACGAGTTGAGAAAGTCCGCGATTTTCTTGATGCTGCTGGTGATGACTTCAATGTACTCTCGGTTCGCCCAGTCCTGGTGAATTTCCCGCTGCACCGGATCCTCTTGTCCGGCCATGGCTGCCGTCTAAGGAAGAGACGGCTGCGCAGGCGCCCAGATCCTCCCGGACGCCTGTGCGCCTGCGCCGCCAGCCCACACCCGTCCCTCGGCACCCGGGAATCCGCTGGCATTGTGGTGCGCGTGCGCGACGTCACGTCATTCCTGCGCTTTGGCTCTGCTCCCACCCCCCTGAAAACTGTCGCGTCAACTCCGACGGGGGAAGTGGAGTGCGCAGGCGCTAAGAGCTCTCAACCCACCGCAATAGCGGCCACTGGGGTTGGGGAGAGCTTGGGCCGGCGTCGCCCACACACTCCCTCAGCTGCTCCGGGCTGGGCTCACGGTCTCTGCCAGCAATAAGTTGGGCAGAACCGATAAACCACATTAAACGCAAGTCATTTTAAAAATGCCTTTCAACAACACAGCATGATGTTCCACCTTACATTTATCAAATGAACAAAATATTATGGTTTTTTAACGATAATACCGGTGATGGATAATACCCAGTGAGGGGAAATTGATAGGTTCTTAAGTAGCCGGTGATACTGCAAACTGACACAAGTCCCTTCAGAAGGAAATCTGTAAATTAATGACAAGATTGGGCGCATTTAGGGTGGTATGACCAAGTAATAGAGTTGTAAAAAATAAAAAATTGACCTAAATTCATTAAGAAAATCACTGAAAAAGAAAAATCACTTTAAGCACAAAGGTACTCTTTGTAGCATTATCTATTAAAAAACAAACAAAGACAACTAAATCTCCACAGTCGGGAATGGCTAAGCAAAGGTATAGCCATTTACGGCAATATCATGCAGTCTTTTAAATGCTAATTATGAACACTAAGGCAACGTAGCACATGATAAATGGAAGGAAAACACAAAATACAACTATTTCATTGAAACTATGTAAAAATTGTGGCTGAGAACAAGAAGGATATACCAAAAATGTTAATATCTGGTTTGTTCAGGTAGTGGAATTACCTGCACAAACAATTTTATTTTCTGTTTAAGGGAATCCTTGCAATCCGATTTGTGCAGTAAATGCCTTTTACTTTAAAAACGTGGTTGCCTCTTTCCCAGGCACCGCGGAGTTCGCGGAGGTGGAGGCCTGCGTGGCTCTACCCACGCCCCCCGCGCGGCCGAGGAAGGCATCGCGGCTGGAGGGGTCGGGGCGTCCAGACCGCTCCCCAGACGCGCAGGAGACCGCCCCCATCCGCGACGGCCCAGCGCGGAATCCCGGGGCTGCCAAAGCCTCAGGCAAGCGCCGGGCCCACCCTTGCTTGCTAACAGGCAACTGCGATGAGCCTACGTACTTTAAGCGGGTGGAGGCCCTTTTCGTGCTGAACACCCACTCAACCTATTTAAGGTTGACGACTACAGGAAACTAGGGGGATGGGTAGGCCCCTGGCAAATCCACAGACAGGAAAAACCCCCTAAAGTGGCTGGTGGCGGTTGAGCGGTAGTTAAGGACTATGGCAAAGGGTCTCAGGCAAAGGATGTCATCCGGGAGTACTTCAAATGCAAGAAACGAATAAACTTGGCTTTTGTTAAAAAAAAAAAAAGTGAACAGTCCTCTAGCAGTAGCTGGGGAGAAGCCATGACGAACAGTCCCTTACTCAGGAGATTTGACAAGCTATAAAGCTGCTGTTATAGCTATGATTTCACTGGACCTTCTTCACAAACCTTGTGGAAGGAAATCATGAAGAGGTTTCTTATTTTACAGGAGAACACTGAAGTTCAAGGTCACACAGCCAATTAAGTGGCGGAACTTCACCAGCTGATTCTAGACTCCAACATCAATCTGCAACACAGTTTAGCCTATCTGAGTTCTCCTATTTCGTCATATAAATGATTTCTAAAAGAACAAATGTTGACCCTAAATATCAAACCCCAAGAATCCAGAAGGCTCCTCTGGCATTCAAGATCCTGCTTCCCAAGTGATGGTGTTGAAGTATTTTGCTCACGTGTGTCAGAGAAGTCAGATTTCCAGGGCACCTTAGTTTAATTTCTTTTAAATCATAAATCTACCATAGAGGAGTCACTTCATCCCCCTGAGCATTGGCTTCTTCATGTGTGACACAAGAATAACAACGTGGATGGGTTAAAATGGTTGGGAGGGTTATGAGAAAAAAATAAAACATTAAGCACAGTGCCTAACTCTTTACAAAGCATGTATTCACAATTTTTTTTCCATTTTCTGTTTTTGCAGAAAGCACAAAATTAGTACCTATCTGTACAACAATTTAAAAAATGATTAATGAAAATAAAATAAAATAAAAAATTATTAATGGTCTTCCACGGACCAGTCAGGCTCAGTTCTTCTCTTTTTGCTTAACTTCCTAAACACCTGTTCCAGGATCTCTCCTGTAATTCCAAACAATTCAAGGATATGGTACTGTCCTGGAGTGAAGAATGTTCCTCCAGGCTTCTGGAGATTTTTCCTAAATGCCTCATGGAGTTTGCTGTCAGTCCTTGGGCTATAGATTTGCCAGCACAATTCTTCAGATGAGTGATGCAGGGCTGCAGAGGCGAGCCCATTGGTAATGCTGTTGGTGAAACAAGGAGTGCTTGGCAATGTGCCATATCCATAGCTGTGCAGATAGCCTCAGCAGAGGAGAACCAGGTCCCTGTCTTCTCTTTGAGTCTATCATGTGCTTCATGGAACTTGGGGATCTTGTCAATGACTCCAGGTATAATAATAATAATTGTGGAATCAAATTCTTTTTTAAAAAATATGTTTTTATTGATTTCAGAGAGAGGAAGGGAGAGGGAGAGAGAGAAAGAAACATCAATGATGAGAGTCACTGTTCGGCTGCCTCCTGCACTCCCCCCACTGGGGATGGAGCCTGCAACCCAGGCATGTGCCCTGACCAGGAATCGAACCTTGATCTCCTGGATCATAGGTTGATGCTCAACCACTGAGCCATGCCGGCCAGGCCTGGAATAAAATTCTTGAACTGTGTCAGTTGCATTAAGTATGATTATTTGAGCCTCCTTTACAGTCATGTGCAGTAGGCTCATTTGCACAGCTATGGATATGGCACATGCAAACGGTGATGTTGCTGGCTGCTTTGAAAGTATTAAATCAGCTTTCAGCAGAGTGAATGTGGTTATTGCCATGAAAATCCCCAGAGTGCCACCAGAATGTTGAGTGCTGCACGAAACAGATCAAGTTGATGATGTAGGACATCAGTAATATGCAGTATGGGAAATTCAGGTTTTCCATATGTGCATGGTAGCCATAGAGCTGGATGGAGTAACAGACTCAGTGGTGATGGCAAATGGTACCTCTAAGACTACACGCCTTAGAGCTGGGCAGACTGCACAGGGGATTGTGGTGTAGATTGTCATAACAGCATGAAGCTCTCTATCCAACAACTTTTAACCTTACAATTTTGCTTTGGAGACTTTCATTTAAAAAACACAACTGTGCAATGAAAACTTTTTTTTTTGCTTTTAAAATAACAAGAGGAAAATTAAGAACTGAAAAAAGTTTTGTAATTTAGTCATTTTATTTTTTTATTATTATTTTTAAAAAAATATATCTTTATTGATTTCAGAGAGAGGACAGGAGGGGAGGGAGAGAGATAGAAACGTCAATGATGAGAGAGTCATTGATCGAGCCCGCAACCCAGGCATGTGCCCTGACTGGAAATCGAACTCTGATTCCCTGGATCCTAGGTCAACGCTCAACTGCTGAGCCATGCCCGGCCGGGCTAAAGTCATTTTAGTCTCTTCTAAGAGTCAGCATTCTCTGCCCTTCTGCATTTTGACTCCTCTTCTAAACTCCACTTAGCTCTCCTTCCACAGGGACACACACACACACATGGCATCTGACAATTCTTGACAAGCTCCTCAAGACTATCTGGCCTTCCAAAACCAGGATCTCAGCCTAAATCCGCCCCAGGTCCCCAGTCTTCCCACTTCAGCTTCACCCAAAGAGCCAGATAAAAGGTGATGGCTCTTACTTGTGCTGTGTTCTGCAGTTCCCAAAGTGCAAGGGCAACTTCTCGGTGTTTAAGAGAAGGGCAGATGGGCCATTAGTTAATTCCTCCTGCAAATACTTCTTGCACACTGCCAGGCACTGGGATAGCCAGGCACCAGGGATATAGGAATCATCTGGGTAGATCTGTCTTCCCTCAGTGGTCCAGGGTAATTGTTTGAGTGATGCTGTCATAGTTGTCAGATCACTCTCACTATGATGAAAGGGTCAGTTTTTCAGCTTTGTGAGAATGGGACAGCATCATCTTTCTGAGGTCTAATAGAAGGCAGAGAAAGGTTTTCAGTCAGGAAGTCAAGGGAAAGAGACATGTATCTTTCTTCTTGCTCTTGATAGGGGAGCATTTATAAATTCTGTGTCCTTGCATTGGGATCATTCCAATGCAGCGACAAAACAGAACTCTGGGTGTTCAGAACTGCCTTAACACCTACGAAGCAGGGGTTGTTAATGAAGACTTTTAATACTAATTACAGGTCCGGGATTTTTATGCACGTCCCTGACTACACCCTTTGAAGTGGGCGTGCCTGTGCTCTGCAACTAGATCAAAGAAGCAGCCCTGTGGCAAGTAGGGAGGTGGGAGACGGAATAGGAGGCAGGATTCGAACCTGTACTCCTGAAGGCTGATTCTTGAACCTGGCATTCCAAGGAGGTGGCAGTGGGGAGTCCAGCCCAGACACCCCCCAGCCAGGGGTGGGGTGGGGGCAGGGTGTTCAAGCCTCCCCGCCCCCACGCATGGCTGGGGATCACTCACCCCGCGGTCCTGGGTCACAAAGGCCGTTGCTAGGCGCCCGGTGGAGGAAAGATGCGACCCAGGAACAGCAGCCGCCACTCTGGAGCGTATGGCTGTGGAGTTCAGCAGGTGAGCCCCCAGCTCAGATGGTGGGACCGGCCTAGGCTCCCACCGCCACCTCCGCCTCCTCAGCCAGAGCTGTCTCACCCAGGCCCCGGGGTAGGGACCTCCGGGGGACAAGCCGCTTTTTCCGGCTGGGATGGAAGCTCCCCCAACAACGGGCAGCTCCAGTCCCTTGGGATCGCAGTTTACAAGGACCTCAGCGGCACTTTGACGTTGCCTTCCTCTTTCCCAGGTGGGGACATTGGGGGACCCGGTTCTTTGGAACCGGAGGAATGGTATGAAGGGGAAACCTTTTTGGCCAGAACAAGGTGTTCCCTCTCTGGGAGTTATTAGAGCAGCTTGAACAGACTTCCTGGTTCAGTCCCTCTTGGAGTGGATGACGGTGAGTTCCGGTCAG